GATATATAGATTTATATATATATATATATGAGGTCAAACGTGCAGGGAGACTTTGTCATCTACAGTACGATGTTCAAGAGATTTCCAAAGCAGGTGCTTTCAGTTTCATAACTCCTCTGTTGCTTGCGCTATTTAGCGAGTGAAAACATTGTCTCTGCAGTAATAATTCAGAAAGATGCCTTCTTCTCTCATTTGGCTCTTATCTCAACGGCCTGCCCCTGAAATTAAAGCTGACTGCGAATAAATGCACTCCTTATATCACAGGTATGGAAATAGACCGCTCCTGTTTTCCAAGTATTTGCACACTCACCCATGTGCAGAGGACATTTATCTGCTGCCTTCACAAAGGAAAGTCAGAGGTCAAGGTCAGCAACAGAACAGCCACAGAAGCGTTAACCTGTTCAACCTTCTGGTTGAACATGAGGCCTTCAGCTCAAGCATTACATTTGGCTGGGTACCTGGTGCCAACCAGTGTGCCCATGCAGCGTGTATCTGTTTTATGTGTAAACTATATTGAACTCTGAATTTAAGACAATAAAAACAAGGTGAACAACCTTTGCACACATACTGTAAGTGAGCTAACCTCTTGTGATGGTACTTACTGGTGGTGTTTCCAGACATCTGAATGATGCATTTGCTTTCTTTCTCGGTCTCCCTTGAATTGAAGGGGCGGACACGCACCGCCACCTTCACAGAGGCTCCTGCCATGGTGCCGTCTTCCTAGCACCTTGGGGTGCCTTCTTTAGTGCCCACGTGTAGGGCCTGCAGGCCTGTAGAAGGGAGCAGATAGTGAATTACGATAACAATAATGTAAAAGTAGAATATTATACCTTATGGTTGAGCTGATCAGAACAATAGAAGAGGGCAGGGCTGCGTGGCTGTAACATGAAAAGACCATGCATGGTCAGCTGCAGCCAGGGGAGATGGATAATAAAGCTAGCAGTAACAAAAGAAGTGCAGCAGCGGCTAAATGTCAGGGTATGTCTCTGGATGACAATGGCAGTAAAACCAGCCACAAATCCAAGGTCTGGCTCCATTCAGCAGCTCGGTTTCATGAACATCTCGTAACTCATCATGTTGTTTCCTAAAAGACTAAAATTGAACATTAAATCACTGTGTGATTTTATTGTGTGGTGGCATCGTGGGTGTATCAAGAGCAACCATGACTCATCATGTGTGCCGATCAAGTTACAATCATTTAATGTCTTCAGCAATAAGCTTTAACAGTGACCAATATGATACAATTATCCCTCGCTGTGCGCTTCAGGTCTGACTGCAAATCTGACATTTTGTTTATGCCCAGGATATGGGATAATATTCCGTTTTTTGTCAATATTCAGAGTATGTTCCAAGGGTGTGACTCTCATCATCACCACTGAGTGCTGTAAATGTGCTGTGTCACCCCTCTTCCTGGTACACACATTTACAAGATGTATGCAGGTGGTACTGTAAAGAGCGTACCAGCAAATCACCTGTATTGTAGGCTACACTGAGGACAAATCAGGATTAAAACATGTCATGGATTAATAAGGTAGATTTGCCATCCAATATTGTTTTGATATCTAAAATGAAATGATGAAGATTAAATTGATCATCTTAAAGTCTATCTTATTTCCACCCAATCTGCAGTCTTCCATAAAAGTAATACTTAAGCTCTAAAAGCATAAATCTGTTTTGTCCCCACCATAATGACCAGTCTGCCCATCCTGACTTCAGACCAGTCAGCTGATGGTGCTGCTGGGCGGCCACCATTTTCCCGGTGACAAAGGCTAATGTCACATATCACGCCGGCGTGGACTTGAACGTGAAAACAGTTTGATGCAATTGAACCTGGTAAGTCATAGAAAAATATTTAATGGTAGTTCTTTAATGTGACAGCAAAGTCATAAGCCACAGGTCAACGCTGGCCTATAGTCAGACTAAAACTGATCATTCATAGCTATAATTATTTTATGATTACTTCTTGCGTCATGCCAGAGGCTCTGATATAACATATATAACATTTGTTCGTTTAAGGTTGCCTTTCGTGTCCCTTTAGCCCAGTGACAGGGCATTTGTTCCTGTCATTGTGCTCCTGCCCTGTCTTACACCTCCTTCTGTACCATCTTCCCGACGTTGGCAGCCTTTTCAATGGCCGCACCCTATGCCCATCTCCCCCCAGGAGAATTGACACTGGGCCTAAGTAAATAAAGACCGTATCATTAAAGCTGCATCACAGGCTGGACAATGGATAAATAAAAAATGATAAACCTACTTCTGCAGTGCCAATAACGTTCTGCTCCCGTGTAGAGACCGACTTTGTCGTCCTCGCCTGTCTGAATACCCGGCTCCGCAGATCCTTCCGCCCCCTCTGGTCTCCAGGTCTGGCACTGCCCCTGCTAGCAGCCTCTCCTCTTCATTAAAACGGGAGGGAGTTGACGTTACACCGCCGACGGAGTCTTGTACCCACCCACCGCCCTGTGCCCTGCCTCGCCAGTGGGGTCGCAGGGAGGAAGGGGGAAGGTGGTTGTTCGGCCGCCTTTTCACACCGAAGACGGTCAAAATGGCTCTGTCGCCTCGGTGTCTTCGGCAAGGATGCTGGAGCTCCACTGAGCCGGTGACATCACCGCCGAGGGAGGTAACAGCATCATTGCAGTAGAGGAAGGGGGTGGGGGTGGGATCCTCGTAAAAGCCGCCGTAGAGTAAATATAATGTTAAAAACATCAGGAGCTGGATAGATTTTTTTTCCAGTGATATGTTGTGAAACTTACGGGATAGTTTTGAATGCAGTGAACAAAGAGCGCATAAAAACGCACTTGTGAGTCAAGTTTAGTAGGCCAAGCCTGGGAAATGAAGCTGAGAGGAGACAAACAGGCACAAAGCAGCTCTCTGCACCATGGAAACTGCCTGTTCAGTGAAGCACACACTGTCTGCTGTCTTGCCTGCTTCTTTCTGAAGTGATATGTGTTGTCTGCATAGCAATGTGAAGGTTTTATCATCAGTCGTGTGCCCACACCCTCTTTCTGCTGCAGCCAACTCTAAAAGTTAAACATGCAAACATACAGTAGAAAGCCTTTTTCACATTTTGACTTGTCATAGTAAGAAAAGCCCAGTGTTACAAATAACATTAACATGTTGTGTTCTAGTGTCCAAGCATGCACATTAGCAGCACCCTGAAACTGAAGCAGCCATATAGTCACCGAGTTTATTATTTACACCTTTGCTTGTGTGTCACAGGCTCCATGTAGCCTATACCTTTGTGTTGTGTTAGATCACTTAGATGCAACTTAATCATATAAAATGAAAATAACAAACATTAACATTAATAATTTATGACTAAATATTAATACCCAGACACTTAGATTACATCTTTGGCATAGATTTTTTTTCATGGCAGACATTTTGACTTGTCTTAGCCAGAAAAGTGCACACATTGTATAACAATTTTTAAAGTGATGGTTCAGTTCCATCGTGTGTCCCAGTGAGCCATGACAGCGAGCTAGCATACACAATCCCAACAAGGTGGTACTGTAGCTCACCTAAATGGAATCCAGTCATTTTTAACTTTGGGTAACATGTATAGGTTCTGTATGAGAAAGTGTGCTATCCCAATTTTAACTGATAAAGGGGAATCTTTTATTGTTTGTGCCTTAAATTACATTTTCTTAATTTTTTTTTATAGAAACCACACAATCTTCTACTGTCATCTATTTTAGCAGTTTAGTAACAATAAATATTAGATCTCAAACCATTTTTGACTGTGAGCAGACAAGATAAAATGCAACGCTTGAAGAAATATTCTCATCGTGAAGCTTCCAGACAGTCATTGAGCTGATTGCAGAGATGAGAGGTCCAGGCCTAATAATGTCAGTGTGCTCTTGTGCAAATGACCTCACCCACACAGTGCACGACAGTAATGGTTTGGTATCTGTAGGCTGTGGCTTTGAGATCAATACATTTACTTTTCTTTATTACCCATCTTGACACAAACAGTGTTGCATAATAAGAAATAGTCCTATAATGTGATGCAGTCTGGAATCTGAGAAGCAGCTTTTTGCTTGGCAGCTGCATGTTTCTGCACAGGTGTACTACTTCGTGCTAACCAGCTGTCAGGTTTGGCGTGTACAGATGCCAAACAGAGGTTGTGGTGAACTCAATTAGAAAACCAGACGAACCGAGGTAGCGACAAGTTCTTTACTTGTTGTAAGCAAAACAAGTAACACAAAGTCCAGGATATCAATCAGGTCGATAAGACAGTCCAGGGTCGGCGCCGGTAAACAGGTATAGCCAGGAGATCCAAACTCGAGGTCAAGGGGGACAAAATCAGAAGGTCGGTACACTGCAGGCGAACAGAATCTGGGAGGGCATAGACAAAACACGGTGGTCAAAAAAACAGTAATCCTAGGTCAGAAACAGAGAGTCAGGCAAAGTGTAAATGCTGGAGAGTCAGAGCTGGGGTCTAGAACAATCTGGGAGCGTCCTGGTGGGAGGACGCTGCCTAAATAGAAGTAAAAAACAGGTGCAAACAATAAGGAGCAGGTGAACTAATGATGATTAAATAAAAGGGCCAAAACTGAGGTGAAACAAAACAGGAAGTCATGTGAAAATAAAAGCATGACAGGAAGCAAGAGGGGCAGGAGCGTGACACCAGCTGCCTATATATTAAAATATACTTGGTCTGAAGTTCTTCTAAAGTACAGAAACCAGTTTTCAACTATAAAGTGAGTGGGTTTATGAGAATATAGAGGCTGCTGCACACGAGGCGCAGCACAGTAAAGGGTAGTGAACAGTATCAGTCTATCTGGTAGTAGGATACTTTGGCTGCTCAGGTTTCAGGCTGAGTGAAACACAATGCAATTGTGTTTTGTGACCATGCTCTTTGCACAGTCCTACCGCTCCTACTGCTCTCTCTCTCCCCCTTTGTCTCATTCATGGACACATTTGCTTCATGTGTTCCCTCTGTCTTAGGCTCTCTCTGTCTCCACTTCTGTGTAATGCTATAGCTTTATTTAATTCATCAGCATTAAGACTTCAAGGTCTAAACTGATAAAATATGCTGCTGGAAGTGTTGCACTTTCTACCACAGAGAAAATATAAGACGTGAGTGTGAATCACAACAGATAAAAAGGATGATGTCAACCCCATGAATCACCAACCACATACTAGATGAGGTACCCCCAGTGTTGTCCTCCCTGTCTTAAAGGGAAGCAGGCAAAGCTGAAGGTGCAGTTCTATAAGCAAGCGTGAAAGGAGATATGATTAGACTATGAAGGAGTGTCAGCGTCCACTACAGGTAGATGAAGGTGGAGCCCGTGGTGGTGTTTCTGTCCAGCCATCCAGCTCTGCTCTGCCATGTCTAACTTCAGAGGCACAGGAGCCTGAATAATTTATTGCTTGAATGAATTGCTGCTTTGAGCCTGACGTGACAGACATGTTTTCTTTAAGAGATGCTCGAAGTGTGTAAAACTCGCAACCTAGTCACATTCAACATGAAAACAGAGAAAAGAATGTCATGAATAAACACAAACCACTGAATGGGTCAGTAACAAGAGCTCCTATACTGCACATCAAAAATGATTAGAATAAAACAGTGAATTCTACTTTATGATAGAGTTCATGAGATTTATATAAATACACAGACTGAACTACAGAATCCCATCCATCCATTATCTATACCACTTCTTCGTGAATAGGGTCGTGGAGGGGGGGCTTGAGCC